CCAAAGACTGTACTCATCAGGAACAAGTTGTATACAAGTACTTACATTCAAGTCCACAGAACTTTCAAACAGTAACATCATTTCTGAAAATAGGGGGGACGAGTAGAAAAAGTAAATCAGGAAAGAAAGTAAAAGATGGTTGGGAATGAATGGTAACAGCTGGAGAACCTTTGTGTGTAAAGGCTCTCACATTCTTGAGGTTTCCCAGTTTATTGAATTGGGATGTGAGAAGATTGTTTTCATTCCTAATTGTGGTTTGCATTTTTATTATAGATTTCTATAATGTTCTTATTGTGTGGCCATATCTATGTTGGGGGCAGACGGTGGTGCCAGGGTGCTGAATGGGGCTCTGGGCATGTACATCTCTGCTGAAGCAACTGCAGGGACTACCAATTGGCTGTCAAGCCAGTTTCAAGGTTCTGCATTGATGTCTAAGGCCCTAACAACTTAGGGAGAGCCAGTCTGGTGTAGAGGTTAAGGCATCGAGCTAGAAACCAGACTGTGAGTTCTAGTCCCACTTTAGGTACAAAGCCAGCTGGGTGATCTTGGGCTGGTCACTCTCTCTCAGCCCTGGGAAGGGCAAGCCACTTCAGAAATCTTGCCAAGAAAACCATAGGGACTTGTCCAGGCAGTTGCCAGGAGTCAAGACTGCCTTGAAGGCGCACACACAACAAATTAGGACCAGAATACCTGGCAGAGCACCTTCACTTAACAGATGTGGTCAAACACTAAGATCAGCAGAAGAGGTCCTGCTGTCCTTGCTCTCCCCACACAATGTGTGAGGCTCATAGTATTACATGTTTCAGGCACCTGTTGAAGACCTTTCTCTTTACCCAGGCTTCCCTGATGATATACTAGATGAAGGATTCTTTTATGTGCTTGTTTTCCTCCTCTTTTTAAAGAAAATATTCTCAGACTATTTTAACGTATTGTTTTTATTTTTGTATTTTAATTATTTCTATTGTAAACCACTTCAGGATATGAATATATGGGAAGCAGTATAGAACTATATTAATCATTATTAGTGTAGCTAGAGATTGTAAAGATTTGTAAGAATAAAGATTTCCTTTGTAATCTGTAATGGAGTTTATATAGATTGTGGAAATAATAAGGATCTGTATCTGTATAGGATTGGTTAGTCCAAAGATGTTTAGGTGGGGTTGGCTGTACATAGTGGCATTTTAGTTTCCTACTTGCAGTCACATGAAATCTGTTGAGGGTCTGAAGACCCTCTAGAAAGGTGTCAAGTACAGCATGGAAGGTGGCAGCAGAGGGGATATTGGTGGAATTTGGAGAAGGCCTGCCCACACAAATGTTCCTTTCTACTTGTTCACAGTTTTGTAGGATCCATCATAATGGATAGAAACTGGATCAAAAGAGGGTAGGTTTTAGATCACACTTCTCAGCATTTGCAAGGGTAGCATTTTTTAAAATAATATATTTTATTATCTTGATGGAAAGAGACCTCTCAAAGTGGCAAGGCTTGATGCTAGATGCAAAATTGGTCAGATGCAGATGGTACAGACAAGCAGTAAACATCAAGTAACAGTAGATGTATTAAATACATTAGCAAATCTTCCAGCTTCAGCGGTTAATTTTGAGAAGTATCATATAAAGTAAGAGATGAATAAGGAGACTGTAAAAGTAGGAAAACTAAGCATAATTTTCTAATCCCCCCGGCCATTTTTATAAATGGACAGCTGGTAAACAGCTGTTATAAATGAGAAAGGAGGTTCCTGAAATGTGGAGGTGAAGCGCATTCTACAGTGAGGTTCTTCCAGCTGAGTTCCCCAGAACCCTAGGGTTCCATGAGAACATGATGGGGTTCCATGAGAGACTAAGGGGGGAAAAAGTCCACTCAAATGCAGCCAATCTTCTACCATTAGAACTTTGCCTCTTGACCAGGGATTCCAAGATATTTTTTAAACCTAACAGGCTCTGTGGCCTTGAAATCTCTGTTCTAGAGTATCTTTCCACATATCTAGTTCATCTATAGCTTTCTTATAGTCTTTTCTATATTGATAGATGACACCCTAGATTCTTATCCAGCATAGCCCATGGCTACTCTTTAGATGAAAAGGTTGATTGTTGTGGGCCAGTTCAGCTGGCATGTAGTAAAGCTTATTCCCCATTACTGATCTTCTCCTGAAGGGACCTTAGGAAGAACTCCAAGAATTCCCAAAATGTCCAATGTTGTTTGAAAACTGCTACTTTAAAGAATCGTGGCCCATTTTTCGGGCAATTAGTGGATGTCTTTTCTGGGTTTATAAAATCACCTTAGTTTCAAGGAGGTTATAATAATTTTGTTGTACTAAGGGATCAAAATACACCATCAAACATGACTAAGACATGTATCTATGCCCTGTGGTTTCTGACATTTATCTGAAGGAGAGAGAGAGAGAGAGAGAGAGAAGCAGAAGGTCCAGCTGCTACTGAAAAACCCTGAAATGATGAACAAGTTCTTCTTGGCTGCAGTAATAGATAAAATAGTATGTGGGCAGTCAGAACATTGGCATTTCCATTTGAGGTCGCTAAATTCATGACATGACACTATCAATAGACAGACCTTATTTCTACTTGCCTTTCAAGCAGCTTAATTGTCCTTGCATTTTTGCTGTAGCTACATTTAGAAGTTGTGTGACCCCTCCTTAGGTTTGGTAAACACCTATTTGAGTTACTGATTGCATGATCCAGTTGATCCAGTCATGTAGCTGTAAGCAACCAAGAGCATGACATTACAGCCATGTGAGCCTGACATTTGCTTTAAGGCAAGTGGGTTAATTTAGCTGTCAGTCTGATGTGTAGATATGTCTAGAGAGCTTAAGATACCTGTTGCAGGTACGTAGTGTGCTTTTCCTTTTTCTGTTTTCTTTTAAATAATCATTTTCAAAATCTGTTGCATTTTTCAAATTGTGCAGCTGTATCATTGTTGTACTTCTTAGAGTGAGATAAGCATTTAAAAATATATATTAATAGTATAGTCATTGGGAACTAAACAGCTTGGAGAAGATCCAATATATTTGGATAATTAGAAGTTCAGATGAACAAGGAATGAAAGTAGATGGAGCATTGTTGCGGGAGTCACCAACGGTTTTTCACCCACCATGTGAAATTGACCTTGTGGGTTTGCTAACAGCTGGACACCTGGCCCTGAAAACAAGTTTCTTGCCATCTTGGAGCCTACCTAGAGGACACTTTTCTCAATAATGACAGATTGCCCCCAATAATATCTGAAATTAGAAAGGTCCATCACTGCTCTCATATACCTACATTTAAAATTAAAAATTCATGGGAAATGTTTTCAGATTTAGGTTACTGATCACCCTGGCTGGGTAGATGCAAACATTTGGCATGGAGCTATCATGTTTATAAAAATGTAAACCTGAAAGAAAAAAGAACATTCTTGGGATGATAAAATTTGTTGATTGAAGCGAATTCAGGTTTCTCCACCAACTTAAGCATATAACCCCAGGTAGCTAACAACACTCTACAAAAATAAATGAATAAATAAAAAGGGGGCAGGATTGAAGCTTGAGATGAATAAAAACATGGTCAGGGAAAACCCTTCTACTTTAAATGAGCTTAAATCTCTAGGAGCAGGTGAACTGCATCCTAAATTATTCAAGGAATTAGCAGGTGGTCTGACTGAATGCTTATATATTACATTTTTGAGAAATCCTGGAGAACTGAAGAATTGCCAGAATTTATTTATTACTATTTTATGTATTTATTTTTTAAAAACCATTTATATAGCTGTCCAATACAATCAAGGTGACTCTGTGCAGCTTACCAAAAAAAAAAAAAATCCGAATACAAAACTACAATACCTACACCTACAAAGAACAATGAAACAATAAAGCAATAAAAAAGCAATCCAAACAGCTGTAATACCATAATTGAATCAGGGCTCCAGCATATCATGACCCGTAGGCTGGAGGAAATGGTGTAGGAAAGCAAGTACTGTATTCCTATTTTTTTACAAAAGGGAAAAAGGCAGATCCAACAAACTATTAGCCAGTCAGTCCGACACTGGAATCTGGGAAAATTCTAGAACAGATCATAACTCTACTTGTATGTACTTAAAAGTAACAAGGCCAGTATCAGAAGAAGCATGGGTTTATTGAGAATTAATCTTGCCATCTTCTTTGTTAACTGGGTAACTTCCTTAATAGATTCTGGGAATGATATGCCCTAATACCTCTTGACTTCAGCAAACCTCACCAAACCCATGGCATGCTGATTACTCAACTAGTTAAATATGGATTAGACGACATGGCAAATATAGTTACATAGTTGGCTTAAGAATCATGCTCAAAGAATGTGCATCGATGGTTCCTCCCCACACTACAATGAGCTATGGGGTGGGGTGCCACAAGGGTCAATCTTGGAACTTCTCTTCAATATTTTTAATAATGTCTTGGATGAATAGGGAGAGGGAATCATTAAACTTGCAGGTGATACAAAATTGCACAAAATAGCTGATAAAATAAAAACCAAAATAAAATTCAAAACAGTCTTAAAAGGTTAGAGCAGCCCTTTGCAACCTTTTCACCCTGAAGGAACCCTTGAAATAATTTTCAGGGAACCCCTCCATAAAGTTCACAAAAATTGCAAAAACTTCACACTACAATTCACTTCCAACATACCCAATCCATGTTTAACACATTTACACCAACAGCATGTGGCAGGCAGGCAGCTAGCTAAGACATGGCACATAAAAATTCCCACCACTGTGAGCGCTGGCATTGTGCCGTGCACCAAGTTAAAAAAAAAGTTTATTGGGTTTTTTTTTTATCATGAACTCTTGCTGAACCCCTAAAAACCTCTTACAGAACCCCAGTCGGGAAAGGCTGGTTAGAGAAATGGGTTGAAAGTAGCAGAATGAAATTTAACAAATCAAGTGCAAAGTCCTTCATTTAACAAACAAAAACCAAACGCGCAGCTCTAGGCTGGCAATACCTTGATAATAGCTGCTTATGAAGAAGAGGTTGGAATAGAAGTTGATTGCCAACTGAATGTGAGCCTGCAGGGTGATGTGGCTGCAAAAAAGGCAAATGCATGGTTAGCCTTCCTCGACGCAAGAACATTTCCCAGATACTGCAAATAATAATTCCTCTTTATTTAGCTTTGGTGAGAACCCACCTTGAGTTTGGGGCATGCCACTTTAAAAAGCAGGCAGACTAAAGAGGAACAATTTCACAGAAGAGCAATGTGAATATAATCAGGGGCCTAAAAAGGAGACTGAAGGTGTTTGGGTATGTTTAGCATTGAGAAAAGATGTTTGGGGGGGGCGGGGGATGACAGCATTCTGGAAATACCTAAATGACTGCCACATAGAAGGTCAAGACTGGTTCCCAGAAGTGATCAGCGAATGGAAAGGTGAAGTTTGCTGGTTGTTCATATATAGGAGCTGGCCTACCAGCCATAGTTGGGGTGTGGTTTCTTCCTTGATGGTTCCTTGATTTGGGTATTGTTTCTTCTTTTGGTGTTTATCTGGCTCTGTCCCCTGCTTATCTGGGCATTGGCTACTACAGAGGATATGCTCTGAGTTCATTGTTTTGTTCCTTGATTTTGGTTGTAACTTTCTTTAATGTAGATGGGCGTTACCTCTCTGTGTCTATTGATGGCTGGTTTGTCTGAATGCCGAGCTTCCAGGCGTTTTTTGGGCGTTTTTGGATTTGGCTTGGTCTACAATATCAACAGCTTCCCAGATGAAACTGTGGCTGAATTTGTCTATGTGTTGAGAGATTCATGAATTTTGGTCATGTCTGCTGGCTACCATTTGATGTTCGTGAATGGATTCTGCCGGTCTTCTGCTTGTCTCTCCTACATACTGTACATAGTGGCTGTTAAATTCCTTGTATGTTGTAGATGACTCCTGTTTTTAATTCTTTGGTTACCGAGTCACTGGATTTGCTTAATATGTTTTGGAGAGATTTAGTTGGTTTGTGTGCTACAGTGATACTGAGAAGTTGTAATAGACTGTTGGATGTCTCAGAAATATTTTTGATGTATGGGAGAGTGATCCTTTTCATTGGCTGTGATGATTATGTTGTGATAGGTTGTATAGCTGGGTGCTTTAAATTTTTTTATTTCTAAAATAATTTGCACTGTAATAACTTCTCTCAGGTGGTAGGTATATATGTGTGTGTGTATCCTTATCTTTGGGGTACGATATGTTATTGAGGGAATCTGTGGCATGTTTATTCTTTCATTCACAGGACCTGTCACTTTAAATGATCTTCTCTTGGCATCAGGATTTAATATTTTTTATTCTCCACTCTGAGTATGGCTGTTAATGGTTTCTCATCGCTACAGAATGGGAAAGTAAGTACTAACCCCATTTCTCTGACTCAAAGGAAACTGTGAACAACAACTGAGCATTCAACTGAAATTCACCTAAATTTTGTTAAACTGCTATCTCAACTGACAGAAGGAAATAACAGCAAATGTAGTGAGGCAAGAACGGAAATGAAAGGGATCAGTCTGTAAATAGTCACTTCGAAATGGCCTGTGGAAAAATCATACTTCTGAATGGAGCAGGTGTCTGGCTTTTTGAAATGGGGTTATAGAGACCCCAAGTTCATTCTTTCCTTCTCTCACGCATGCATGTGGACACATGCACCTAGGGCTTGATTTAGGCAACAGACCAATGCCTTTAGCAGAGAGGGCCGCAGCTCAGAAAATAATTGCACATTTTGTAATGCAGAAAGCTCAAAACTGGATCCATGGCCTCTTCATTTAAAAAGAATAGAGTAGGATTGCACAGAAATAAGAGGTCTCTATTTGTGGCTCTGGGGAGGCAAAGTTGAGCTAGACGGGGAATTTATTTCCCCTAGTATGTGCTTCTTTGAAAGTACAATGGTAAAGCTGGTGTAGTAGGATAACAAATTCAAATATGGATACTACAGTGGCAATCTAAGTGACTTTGTTGAATTTAGATAATGGATAATCGTAAGAGAGTAAATATAAGAGAATAACCTTAGGTAAGGTTCTTGTAGCTGGAGTCAAGCTTTTTTTATTTTTTTAGGTTATCAAGAGCCGAAGGGAGAGGCAGTGTTGTAATAATTTCACTGAGAGGTGGAGGCAAGATTTCCAGACTAACAGTTCCCTTTCTGGAAATTAGGGGGAGGGGAAGATATATTTTATTTTTAAATTTGTCTCCTACTTTTCTTAGTTTCTTACTGAAAATCAGAAGAAGATCACATGAGCATTTTTCCGCCCATCACTGTAAAATGTGTTCTGAGGTATGAATTATTCTATGCAGCTAAAGGTGTGGTAAGGAAAAGAAATTATTGGACAGTCTTGTGATCACTGCTTTAACTGGTCTCAGCTCTACTTTTTATCTTCATTTCTCTCCTCTTCTTCTCCCTCTCTTCTTGAGCCCATGGCCCCACTTAAAGAATTACACCATCTTCATATACAAACATGTACTTTACTTACAGTTCAGACAATACCAGTGTTCACTAAGAAGTAGGAGAAAAAAACATGATTCTCTCTGATCATACCATGAGAGAAAATGAAGGAACAGTAACAGGGGCTACAGGAAAGGCTAAGGTTAAGGGGATCTTCCAGAATCTCACAACCACCAAGGAACTGCCTAAATTATACCTATTAATAAGGTACTACTAATTATAGTACCTGCTACAATTAACCCTTCCCTGGACATGTAGGGTTGCTTAGCTCAATAAAATGTTGGTGGCAGAAACACTGTGGTGGTGGGGTTCAGACTTGGAGAAAAAGAATTTGGGGCCCACATGTAATCCTTAAATTATGGCTTGTCCATCCTTGTTTGTGGTAGGAATAACAACATTTTTCAGCAATCTGAAAAACAGTCCTAACTTTGTTCGTTTAAAAAAAGGATGAAAAAGCAGATATTAAGATTTCACCAAGCTTTTACAGGGTGAGGGAGGCTTTGCTTGATTCAAGTTATCTCAACTCTGATATTGGTGGAGAATTTTATATAAATGAATACATTTAGGTATATAAATAATATTTATCACAAAGAACTGTGAAGGGTGCTGTAGCTGGGCGAGCCTGCTATGTGGCCCTTTTCTTTCAGGAATTCCTAGCCTTTAGCCCGGCCAGGCGTCCACCACAGTCTCCTTGACAGAGAGCACCAGCTACTTTGGGAGGAAGGGATGGATTTCCATCTTTGGGCAAAACAGGGATCCATGTGTGCTTTTAGTCTCAGATTTTAGACTGCAGTGCCCAGAGTCACCTGGACTGGGCCAATATACAAAACTCTGAATTAAATAAATGAAATGTTAAAAGTCTAGTGGCCAGATACTGTTAACATAGGGCATATAAGGAAGTACAATTTTGATAGATCCATCCTGAACGTGCATAATCCAAACTAATCTGATTCGACTGCCTAATCAGAGTCACTTTTGTACATGATCCTTTCTTAGACCTTTCTCTTACTGGGAACCCTTGGTTAAAAAACTTGCAGTCAGAGCTGATCTCCTTCAGCCATTACTAATAGCCAGCTCCCAATTATGAATTGTTCTTTCTTCCAAGAACCAATGCCCTTCAAGAGAGAACTTTATCTCTCTAGTAGTAGTCAGCCAGTTTGCACTTAACCATAACTTGTTAGTTTACTCAAGCATCTCATATTAGCGAATTTATTACTTGTTTCGTTCCTGTTTCATCTTATTGTGCTGTCTCTGAAAACTCCATTTCCATCCTGTGTTCATCTTTAGCCAAGCTAGCCAACATACACAGACAGCTAAAAGCAAACCCAAGCCCTTCAAAATACAGAGCAGAACAAATTTTTCTACAGCTGGCTTTTGCTGTTTCCTTGTGTATTCAGTCATAGCTTGCATGTATTCTGCCAGTTTTTGCATTAACGTGCCGTAAAAACAAATACTCTCTCTAAACGCTACTAATTCATTCCACTGCATTTAGGCCTTTGACATATGTGGAAAACTGAAGCTCACATTATATCACTTATATCTCACCAGCAGAGAGGACAAAAGAAGACATAAATATATATACTGCATACCCTAATTGAAATAATTGCTATTTGTAAGTAGAAATAGAAGACAACTCCCTCTAATGGAGAAGAATGTGATGAAATGACTTGGGAACCTGCTTAATTTGCTACACTGCTACTTAAGATAATTCTTTTAAGTTTTCAAGAAAGGATTAGGTGATTTTTAAAAAGAATTATTATAATAAAGCAGTGGACTGAGTTTAACAATAAATATGAGTGATTCTTAATGTCTTTTTAAGGCCAACATTGTGAAACAATGTGTGGCAAAGAGGAGTTGAAAATGAACATTGGATTGGTATCATCTGAAGAATGAACGCAGGGAGAACTGTTTCATTTAGATGTCTATCTGTAGGCATCATAAAGATTTTCTCAGAGCCATAGTGACTCTGTCAACAAGCTATCAAAAAGTACTTTTGAATTTCTTTTACAATGCTTTCTCTTATTCTAGGAATAGAAATGAAAAGGTCTGGTTTAACTGTGATTGAAAATTTTGGATTGTCACTTCTAATGGATTAACTGTGGGTTCTCTTCTTGGCTGAATGTGGTGGTGTGATGTGATAAAGTCAGGCTGGACACAATCTGGTTGGCCCAGACGCATGGAGCAGCTGCTTCAAGTAAAAACTAACCCTCCTGTGGCCAGAATCAACTTCAAGAAACCAGATTTCAGCAGCCAACATGGAAGCAAAACAAAGTTTCTGAGATCATCCTTAAATAATGAGCACTCCTGAGCTTATACAGCCAGTCAGTCTCATCCTCAGTTTAGCTTTGGGAGCAATGAATTTCTTTTTCTTGCTTGCCTGCCTGCCTGCCTAACTCACTCTTTGGATAATGACCCATGACTATCATTGTATGGAAGGAATAACAAAGGTGATTTCAGCACAAGAAGAAGTCATTCATCTCTAGCTATCTGTGTACAAACCTGGGAAGTCCAAGATCTTTATACTGTGTTGAGTGACAGATACACAGAATCCCACTTCTTCCATGTACCCTATTAGTGAGGAGTTCCAAGACCTAATTCAAAGGCTGGTGCTACAACAGCCATCCCCTGCCATGCTTTTATATAGTTGGGTCTTGATGTCATACCACAAGACATGCAGCCAGGTAGCAGCTCTGCAGGTTCCTGACATTTGTAACCCTACAAATTGCTGAATGTCTGCCTATGGCCTCTGATGCCTCAGTGGAAAATGATGGCTTGAATCAGATGTCACTTGAAGTTACTACTGCGAAATGGAGCTCTGGCACCATAGAAGCAGTTTCACAATAGTGGTAGCCACAGTAGAGCACAGTAATATAAGAAATGGAGCAGAATGCACTAGAAGGAGGTGAAATGTGTGTGTTACTTCAGTGTAGGCCTTTCATTATATATAAAGCCAGATCTTAGCTTTTGTTTTCAGTAAATATCTACATCTCAAACTCTTTATAATAGTCCATCTTGCTTCTGTGATACAAGTTTAGAATTGGTAAGAAAATGGTTCAGCTATATACATCTGAACTTCTTGCAACTTGCTTGCCTAAATCACTAGATTTGTTAGTACAATGGGATTTCTTTTTTCATTGTAAAAAAATCGCTTCATAATACTATACAAAATGGAATACTTCAATGGGATGGATTTTTTTTCCTGTGAGTAGAGAAGCATATTGGCTGTAGTCTTGCTCCAGATTTTTTATAGTCAGCTTGCTGTGTAAATTATCTTAAAACATGTGCTAAGTGGGTTGCAAAACCAAGGTGACTAAAATAAACACAGAGAAGGTGTTCTTTGGGCTAATAATAGGACTACCTTTAAGTGTTGCAGCCAAAAAGCTTTTCCATTAAGAGTTATTTTTTAAATATGTTGGTGGAGTATCAACCCCAAGACACCATTTTTTAAAGTCAACTTTTTGAAGTTGATTTGTTTCATGGTTTTGCTGTAATGCCAAAATTGGTTTTAACTATCTGCTTTCCTATTCTCTTTAGGTTCCTCCAATAATTGGTTCCTTGGGGGCCAATAAAACAGAGGTCTGTCTCACGTGGCTCATTCTCACGGTCCCTCCAGATGAGTCCTTGTTAGAGGAGGAGGGGGAATCAGATGAGGAGATCAGACCCTCCAGAGCTGAACGTGGAGTTCAGTGTGGACATTTCTCTTTCTTCCAGAACTGTAGCTCAGAAATTTCTCCTTGAAAATATGCCATTCCAAGTCCACATGGATGGGTGTTGCCCCCAGTTGATGGAACAACGCACAACATCATACAAAAGTGCAAGGGCTTCAAGGAGACATTTTCTGGAGTAAGAGCTCAAGAATTTATCCTTGATTTTCTCTTAATGACTAATAAATACAGGCTGAATTCAGGTGGAGTCCTGTGTTTTCTCTGCATAAAAGCCTTGGTAGGCAGACATGCTGCAAAAACTGGGCATTTTTGTTCTTTACAAACAGGTTGAAGCTGACAGTGATTTCATTTCTGCTGACCAATAAAGGAGTGCGAAGAGCTTCATTCCAAGAGTGGCCCGTCTGAGTTATTACTGTGGTGGAACAACAAAAACACAAAAGGAATAAAATAAATTGCTGGCATCCCACACTCATGTTTTCAGTATAAGTTGTGTGAATTTGTCCAGTTATTTGTTAAAAAGCAGACAAACAAAACTGAGTGGTGGTTTTGAGGGAAATCTGGGCTGTGAGGTAGCATTACTCTTGTATTTAAAAATCTCTTGCCTGCTGTGCTCGTAGCAGGCTGGCATCTTTTGCAACTACTCTCTTTTCCCAATACCTCTATTCAAGAACGAGGAAGGAGGAGATAACTCCTAAATAATATCCACACCCAAGCTGCTGAAACTCAGTGTTAATGGAGGAAAAAGAGAGTAATGATTGCTGTGTGTCTAGAAGCTGGAAGGCAGGTAAGGTCAGAATTCCTACCAATTGGCAAACAGACAACCCAGAAGCTCAGCGGAACTACAGCGATTCAAAGGCGAAAACCAGCTTTGCCCTGGATTCAAATATACCAGCCAGAAATATGTGTAGTTCATTTCTAAAACCTGCCATCACTGGCATCAGAAAGATAAGTCTGAACTTGTGCAAAACCCTCATGTAAAAGTGCCCAAATCTATGGCAGACTTCCTTGTTCTTGTTCTGAAATGTATTCAGGTTTACCTGAAGTTTGGTCTTTCTCTTGACTATTCTCTGCACCAGCCAGGTCTTGCTTGTTTTTGATGAAGATGTCCCACTAACCATTTATGGAGGACAGGCTGAAGTTGGTTGAAGATATTCTTACATAATATTGCAACACAAAACTTCCCATGTAGATCTTCTAGGGTTCGTGGAGAAGGAGGATGATTATCAGCCAGGCTACTGTTAGCACAGCAGCTCTGTTGTGGGACTGTCTGGTCACTGGGCTATGGATCTCCATAATCATTTCAGCTGTGACTGTAAGAAGGACCAACACCTTGCTTGCTAGCTATTTTCTTCTTTCTGGGGATGGATTTGGAGATGGGATTATCAACCTCATGTAAGACTGAATGCATCCTCTACTGAGAGGGTGGTATTCCCATTAGTAAGCCCAAATAAACCTAGTTTCTGTGAGCCTCAGCACTAATTAGGCTCATGAATCAACACCTTGTTAGAGCTACTTTAGGCAAAGGAACCTGATTGCTCTGCTCTTCCATGGATTGCTGCTGGACTTAAAAGGGGCCGCCTTGAGTACTGTAGGCCAAGGAAAGAAGGAATAGGCCCAAAGGGAGAGGAAACAGAAGCCAGAAAGCAGAATTTTGCTCACCAATTTTTTTTTCTGTAGGTAGATGAAGTGAGGGAACAAGTGGAAAGGAGTAGCAACTACTTCTGGTTGCTGAGCTTTTAATGTGGCCAACCAGCTCACCCCCTGTTGCTCTTGCTGCCAACTGTCTGACTGTAAGACCCTGGAACTAGGTGGAGTGAACTTCTCAGTCTCCTAGTCAGGAGACCAACAAGGAGGAGGAGTGCTGCACTGTTGAGAGCTGAAGAAGGCTTTAGAGACCCCTATGTGGAAACCCCTTCCCCATCGTGTGCAGGTGCTTACTTTAATTGAGGCTCTGCTCTTCTGTTGGCCAGAAACCACATTTTTAAAGGAACCTAACCTGTTTTCAAGTCCCGGAAGAAGAGAAACAGCTATTCTAATAACAGAGATTTCCAGTTTGGAGTTGGCTAGTAGAGGGAGAGACCTCTCTTCCAATCAAGCTGCTTCTCCCCAGCCCAGCCTTGGAGGAGGAGAGGCAGGTTGGCTTTTTCCTGTTACCTGTTGGTTTGGAATCTGTAAGCTATTTCTGGCCAAATGGCAGGTGAATAGTATATCTGCAATGAAAATCCACTAGTAAAGGAGGGCAAAATAAAGCATGTAACCAAGTGGGAGGCTCCAATGCCCAACCCCATCCTGGCCCATGTTCAGAGGAGCATTTGGTGGTTGGCTTTCCTGCTGGTAAATGACACAGAGTAGGAAGGGAAAGGATGGCAGGGAAGCCACCAATCATTGCCCAAGCCAGAAACTATCCTGCATTACATTGTGTGAGGGCAGCACACTAACCATCTTGATACTGAGGCATGGAAAAGGGGGTTAGGCTTTTCTATCAGCTTCCTTTCCTCCCACTCAGGGATGAGAGGAAAGCACATTAAAGCTCTCCTTCAATTTGGTTGCCAAATTAATGATTTCAGAGCTTTGGAACGGTTGCATGACTAGGGTAATTTGCCTCCTAGAGGACTCCCATTCCCATTTTCATACTTCAGTGCACACATCTGAAAGCGGAAGGAAATAGACAATTCAGCCTCACCTCTTCCAGGAAAGGCTTCCAATCATGGGATGTCCTCCTGAAGCTTTGAAAAGGTCCAGAGGCTGAGTTGTGGCTTCTGACCCTTCAAATATGGTCCATCCCTGGTCCAGAGAACATACATGCCTAGAAGCACCAGCATAAGTGTAATCAAGGCTCTCTTTGCTGTGTCTTTGTATTCATATATATGGAAGAGTACATGGAGATACAGGAAATACATATAGATGTCCCTGGAGATTTTGGGGCTCCTGCCACTCCAATCTGCTGGGTTGCTGTCTTCTAAAATGCACAGTTAAATGAGCTTCCAAAGAATTATGAGAAACCTCTTTTATGCTCGTAAGAATTTCTTCTTCACCACAGTACAAACTTCATTTACAGTTTAAAAAAATGCAAAAGTGCAGCAGCCATGTTTCCTGCATATAGACTACAGTGTTCTTCCATCAGGGATTATGATTATTTGGAGGTCCCTATCCTTGTAATTGTATTTTTTTGTTTTTCCCTTACTGTATCACAAAGAGTGCAAGATATTTTAGTCCTCTGCTTATTAACATTTGAGGCAAATGACCCTGGATGCCTGTTTCTCTTCATATTATATTTGTGGGTCAAGCAGCATTCTCAGTAAAGATTCTTTGACAAGAATGAAAAGTCAAATGTAAAACAATGCTGCAGGTGAGTCAGCAGGATCTATTTAAAAAAATATCTATGGCATTGGCAGTTCCTGAAAAGTGGGGCTTTCTCTGTGACCGGGAATTAATGAATTGTGTGCCTTTGCATGTATTTATACTAGGATGTTCAAGCAATTTAGGGCGGGACATAACTTAGCTGCACAGCTATTCATATATTGTAATCAACTTTGTACATGGTTTTTCATTTTACTGTTATATAGATGCCAGACATCTATCGTTAAAGAAGTGTGGTCATTTCCATTTGCCACACTGCAGAAACTACTAAGAATGATGTATGCACAACTCTTTGTGTTTCTCCTCAGCTTCTTCCTTTTTCCTTTTGGCTTCAGTTGATTGGAGCTGGAGCTGAACATACCTGGAATGCACAGATGGAAAAAGGGTTTAATAAAAGATCCTTTGCTGAGATGGTAAATTTACAAATGGAAAGCATATGCTTTCTTATGTGTCCACCTTAATTTATCACAAATAGCTTGCTTTCCTTTAACTAAATGTCAGGTCTCCTTCAATCCAGCTTTACTCCTGGTGACTTAGTTTCCTTGGCCTCAATCCAGAAATGGTTTGCCATTACTTTCTTCCAAGATGTTTTTGGTATCTCAATCTAACCAATAGCCCTGGGACTTCTAATGATCCTCTATTCACATAATAACCAGATGTGACTCTGTTTAGGCTTTCAAGATCACAGCCAGCTAGGCATTATTTAATTACTGTATATCACTTTGACAGGGGCATTGCTATGTGGTTGAGAGTGCTTTACTTGTGTGCAAAACATGACAGGTGTGATCCCCCAAAACTCCAGCCCACATTAAGAAAAAAACTACTTGTCTGAAATCCCACAGAGCTTGAAATCCCATCAAGGTAGAAAATATTTTAATAATAAAAATTAGTTAATTAATATTTTCTCATATTTGTACACTAGTAAGGAATCCTTATTTTGTTTGCAGATATAACACAAATATGTGGATGTTTTGGACTACATCTCCCACATCTCTTCATTGGCTAGGCTGACTGGGGTTGATGGGAACTGACATAGCAATCACTTGGAGACCATCCTCTTTCGAAACCTAGATTTGGCTTGTTTACTTGGTTCTCAAATATAATACTGTACAACCCTAAGCTTAATGATTCAGAAATATGCAACAGTGAGTACAATCAAATGTATTTCCCCTAACAAGTACACTTGGGATTGCAGCCTCAGTCCTTGGTTTGCTATAATCAGGCACTGCATATCCAACTTTTGCTGTTAACTTTATTGCAAAATCAATAATACCAATCTTGCTACACACACATACACACACAAAGGAAAACATCAAACTTTACAGAGCATAGAGTAGGAATAAGTAGATCTTCATTGGAAACTGAAGCTTCTCTTTGAAAGATGGTCTGGCTACAAGAGAAAATCTGTGGCCTTGTTTATGGTGTTGAACTACAGCACTCAGCATCCCCCCCATCCTTGGTCAGCATTCCTGGGAAGATCAGCCACATATAGAGGGCCATCAGTGAAAATGGAATTATGAAAAGTAAGTACAATTTATATTAGTGTATGAAAAGGCTTCAGTGTTTTGTGGCTGTTGTGATCATTTATACAATCAGAAGGGAGTGGAAGGCAAGAATATTTCACTATAGGATAGGTCCATCCATCCATCCATCCATCTATCTATCTACATCCATCTTTAAAAATATCTGGATGACCAATGGCAGCAAAATGTTGTTGGTTTATTTAACAGGATTTTTAATAGATAAGCAAAGCTATAACATCTCAAAAAAACTTGCTAAATGAGGGGAAAGACAATAAAAAAATCTAGCTGGGAATACATGGTGGCGGTGGCAGCAACCTTCTCATAAATTATAATGC